GTTTTGTACTTTTCACAAAACCAGTTTTTAATTTTACTTACGAAGTATTACTCATGTCAAGTTAATTAGTAAAATTCCTGAAATTATATAAACTAACAACTAAATTAAAAATAAGATAATTATATATAAACCATTTAAATGGGCCAAATAAAACAATTTTAATATCATCAAGTGAAGTGGGCTTCATTTTTCTTTTTTTACCAAATAATCCAAAAGACTGTGCACAAGAATAGAAACTGGTACAACAGTATATATAAATTAATACATGGAAAGTTTATTAAACAACTTGATTAGGAATCATAGGGTAGGTTTACTCGATAAAGAAATTATAGTGTACATTTACTCATGTAAAAAATTATTGAATGCCTGTATACGTAAAGAAGGTCACAAGGTACCTCTACTGGTGAGAAACGTCATAAAGTACCTGCACTCGTGAAAAATGTCATAAAGTACCTATATCCATGAAGATATCTGTACTCGTGAAAATGTCATAAAGTACCTATATCCATGAAGATATCTGTACTCGTGAAAAATGTCATAAAGTACCTATATCCATGAAAATATCTGTACTCGTGAAAATGTCATAAAGTACCTATATCCATGAAGATATCTGTACTCGTGAAAAATGTCATAAAGTACCTATATCCATGAAAATATCTGTACTCGTGAAAATGTCATAAAGTACCTATATCCATGAAGATATCTGTACTCGTGAAAAATGTCATAAAATATCTATACCCATGAAGCTATCTGTACTCGTGAAACATGTGGCTGAATGTCTTCAAACACCCAAATATTGAACTACTAAGTTTTAAAACTGTCACAAGTTCTACTAACTTAAGTTTTTTATCTACTGTCCATAATAGGACCAGAAGTCGTTTTGGAACATTCTTACCTGCTTTAAAACAAGCTTCCAATGATTGTCTCAATTTTTTTTATCAAGCACTTTTTAAAGAATTTCGATATTTTCAATCGACACGACAATGAAAAAACAAAACCGATTTATGGTGACGCTAGAGACCGATATAACTCTCTGGTGTGAGTGAACTTTTGTAACTGAGTAATTATTACTGATTTTCTTTTACTTCAATTGTTTGTATATTGAATCCAACTGCTATTCTTGGCCATGATTTAATCTCTAACAACAGACAATAAGAATTAGGCCTAACCCTCATGGACACTGATAACAAATTGATGTCATTCAGTGTTCTGGGACTGATTTACTTGTTGTTTTGTTATCTGAAATCTATACGTCTAAAGTGATATTACAACTAGAAACTAGAGCTATATACAGATGTCACGTGACAGCAGTCACTTAGCGAAAATCGGATTATAATAAACCTCAACCTCGTTAAGAAATTAATCAACAATACCCTAAATAGGTTAGTTAAATCCAGTTTAACTTGTTTTAGGCGGCGCGTGCCGAAGACGAAAACGACAAAACTCGCGCTTAGGCCTTTGTTATGTCGTGACATCAAGTAGGTGCACTGTGCAGGTATTTTCCACTGCTGGGAGTCAGGTGAAAACCAGCCTGCCCGCACTTCCCTCGCATATCACTCGGCCAGTATCGAGTGATATGCCCTGTGACCTTCACCTCAGTCGGCCAGTATCGAGTGATATGCCCTGATATACCAAAAACAGGTCCACTTCACCCAGCTGAGTACTTCTACTTTTTATTTGAAATAACTATCCTGGAAATAACTATCATTCTGAAATTGTGTTGTGTCAGTGAATTTGGTTAATCAGGGAAATTATTTGTTTGTTTGTATTTTAGAATTTTCGCGCTGTACAACATGTAGCTGCTTTGAAATGATAGACTAGAGGGAAGGCGGCTTGTCAACAGCATCCACTGTCAACTCTTGGGCTACTCCTCTCTGAATGCCATTCTTATAACACATCCACAGACATCATCTTCATTAGGATTCGGTCCATGTTTTGGACCAGGGAGGATCTTACAGACCCATAAAGTGGAGCCTCAGATTCAAATCCTGCATACACTAGCCTCCACCCCACATCCAGGAAATATAAAAGAAATTTTACTGAGGAAGTGCTGAAAGACAGAATAAAACAACCTCAATAAAGATAATCTCGAACACTTTGACTGGTTAAGGTATCTTTTATGTGAGTTTTCCAAAGATTAGGAAAAATACAAACTTAGAAAATTGTGCTTTATAATTTCTTATTAATTAGACATTTATTTAAGGTATGTATGGTTGATTTGTATAAATATGAAATTAGTGTTTTGAAGCAGTTTCGGTAAGTTATTTATTATTCCAGTGACAAAACTTGAGTTTTAACACAATAATATGATACGCACTGAAATATTTCGTTTGTCTTCGAATTATAAATTATAGTTAATTCAAATAAAATAAGAAGGTTAGAAAATCGAAAAGTCTAGTAAACAGTTCTCTTTGTTTTTATTAAATCTAAACAACTGTATCTTTATTAATTTCAGAACTTCATACCAATAATGTTTGTTTAAAAGAACTTTATTGACAACAAATCTTCAGAATATACAGTTTAACACATCAAGCTCAGAAACAATGGATTACAATAAAAGATACACAGCATCATAACTACCACTCTCATCATCTGTTTGATAAGAACTTATAACCTAATTTAATCTAATTCAGGAATAGTGGATTACAATAAAAGATACACAGCATCATAACCACCACTCTCATCATCTGTTTGATAAGAACTTATAACCTAATTTAATCTAATTCAGGAATAGTGGATTACAATAAAAGATACACAGCATCATAACTACCACTCTCACCATCTGTTTGATAAAAACTTATAACCTTATTTAATCTAATTCAGGAATAGTGGATTATAATAAACAGTACACAGCATCATAACTACCACTCTCATCATCTGTTTGATAAGAACTTATAACCTAATTTAATCTAATTCAGGAATAGTGGATTACAATAAAAGATACACAGCATCATAACCACCACTCTCATCATCTGTTTGATAAGAACTTATAACCTAATCTAATAGATTAGATTAATTTCTAATTTATTATCAAGCCAATAATAGTGATGCTTATGATGCTGTGTACTGTTTATTATAATCCATTGTTCCTGAATTAGATTAGATTAATTTCTAATTTATTATCAAGCCAATAATAGTGATGCTTATGATGCTGTGTACTGTTTATTATAATCCATTGTTCCTGAATTAGATTAGATTAATTTCTAATTTATTATCAAGCCAATAATAGTGATGCTTATGATGCTGTGTACTGTTTATTATAATCCATTGTTCCTGAATTAGATTAGATTAATTTCTAATTTATTATCAAGCCAATAATAGTGATGCTTATGATGCTGTGTACTGTTTATTATAATCCATTGTTCCTGAATTATGATTCAGGAACAATGGATTATAATAAAGGGTATACAGCATCGTAACCATCATTAATTAGTTTGATTTAACTTTATAACCTAACCTAGTCAGTGTGATTAGATATTTTGTTTAAAACACTAAAGAAGTAAAATTCTTTTACAGTTTGTAGAGAATAATTCTAATAAGTGGATGAATGCAAAATGAATAAAACAGAATCAATGTATAAAGATAGCACCAATTTCAATATAAATAGAAAACTTCGTAAAATATTTAAACACCAGGTGGCCAGGTTGTTTTTTTTCTCTATCACCACATTACTAGATGGCTGTTTATCTGTATGGTCCTATAAAGTAATGCTCACTGGAAGTACAGTTAGCAAGACAAACATTTATCACGTAAATTAACTATTAATCATATACCAAATGAATATTCTTATCACTAATTAGAATAAAAAGAAAACTATTTCTGCAAGTACAAAGCATCCCTATTTAATTAGGACAAAATCATTTGATATATCTCCCATGATCTTGTAAAATCAATAATAATATATTTGATGAAGTGAATCTTACAGTTTTAAAGAAGATATATTTTTAAGATACTGGATAAAGTATATCATGACATTTTAAATTAAAAGATATATATTTGATAAAATGATGATTATGAAAGATTTAAAGGCAAGAATACAGTAAGGTTATTGACAAATTTTAAAATGTATTGCATTGTTCATATCAAGACTCAATACAACTGTAAATGTATTCCATTATTTAGTTCAAAATTCGACTTAATTTTAAGTATTACCATATTGTAAAGTACCAACACAGGAAAATCATTTCAATAAAATGAAGAACTGCGCTAACTACATCTTTTTTGGTGTTTGCTAACACTAGCATATATAAATATAAAAATATTAAAGTCTTAACACAAAATGATTTTAATTTCAAAACTCAAATGATTTGGCCGAACAAAAGTGGCTTCAAAATTATACCCATTTGGAAATTTGAAATAATTCTTTGTACATTATCTGATCTATGAGAAAACCTCAAAATATAGTCTGAAACACCGAAATTACTTAAGTTTTATCTTCTTTAATAACAAACCTGTTCAATAGATGGCTCTGTCTGTCTGTCTGTCTCTCTCTCTCTCTCTCTCTATATATATATATATATATATAATTACTAATGTGTAAAAAACAAATTGCACCAAACCTTCTTAACTTCGATAAGGTTTAACATTAATCTGTTTTAGATACTATGTTGTTACTTAATATCCGTTGGTTTGATTTTGTAAGAAATTAATACATTTAATTTTATATAGGAAAATTGTATAATTAGCTGGATTCCAATGTGTTATATCATGAAAATGTAGGTAAACTATGTGGTCTTCTTGATGATAATGACAGTTATTTTAAACTACCAACTAGATTACTAAGCGATGAAATATCCAATGGATAATAACACCAGAGGGCATGCTTATGGATAATGTTGATTTCATTCAATTAACTTTAGAACTCTGTGACTCAAACTAAAATCAGGTCGTGGTTACATTTGGGAGAAAAAATATATATATTATGCTAATAAAATACTCAACACAGTTCATAAAATAATAAAACTTTAAGGGATTAACCCACCAGATTCTTTTTGAAAGAGTTTAATTTAGTTTCTTGACTATAACCAAACATTACAAATTGGTATCGTATTATTCAGATACTTTAATTCTAGTACCCCAGATTTCTTTCTCGGCCAACAAATATTTAAGGATAAGACTCCATTAGCTCAGTGGTAGTTATTTATAGGCTTCTGTTAATGTGAAAGCTTTGAGCGACCTAAATACATTGAAAAAATTATCAAGTTCACGAAAACCTTTCAAAAGTACCTTGGAGATAGTCAAAATAAACAACAGATGGTTGAAACAAGTAAAATAATCGAAACTGAACAAGATATTAACACTCCTTTCCTTCACAGAAAAATATTGCAAACACATATAAGTTATTGTACATTTTTGTTATTTACAAATGCCAATTTTTTAAACTTTTACATCATTAATATATATATATATATATATATATATAAATAAACTGGTCATAAATTGTTTTTCATGTTTGTAACAGCTTCTGAAAGAAGCTCAGTGGGGTCCTTATGGCTATAGCAACCTCTCTGGAACTTTCCAGCCCCCTTTGCACTGGCCCTCCCACTTGGCTTGTCTGCTGTGGTGAGACTGGTGAAGATAAAACAGAAGTTAAAATCAAGATAATTACTAGCTGTATTAACATCCCACAATAATCTAAAAAGACAAATATGTTAGCAGTTAAACATTGAATGTAAAATGGTCTCATAAATATACCAAAAGGTTAATAATCGCGCTAAACTTCCATAAGTACACGTTTATTCACTAGAGGGCAGCACAAGTAGTTATTCATTATTATTAATAGAAGTTGCAGTGTCTTTGTACTGAATATCTTTATGTTATTGGTTGACGCGGTGTAAAATAGAATTAAAATACATTCTAAGATATACTTTTCTTCGGGTAAGTTTCGAACACGGCAAAAAAAATAAAATAAACGTTTTTCACTCACATACGCCACACCCACAACTGAATTTGTTTTATGGTTCAGGAATATAGAGTGGGAAATGTTAGAGTCAAATCATGAGAATTGTTTGTTTGTAATTAAGCACAAAGCTACACTATGGGCTATCTGTGCTCTGCCCACCACGGGTATCGAAACCCGGATTCTAGCGTTGTGAGTCCGCAGACATACCGCTGTGCCACTGGGGGGGCCAAATCATGAGAAAGAAAGGTTTTTGAAAACTGTTCAAGATGGCTTTCTTTACCAGTTGGTCAAGGAACCTACTAGAAACAATGCTATTTTAGACATATTGTTAATTTATAATATAGAAATGATCGAGAGGGTGAATATTATGGAATATCTGGGTGCAAGTGATCATTGCTCTAATAGGTTCGATGTTTTGTTGCATATGGAGATTTGAAGAAATTATATGTTGTGAATTGTGCAGCTAAGTTACTTGGAGACACTGACCAGATGTGGCACATTTTTAAATATTCAAGGTAAACATATTCCTTATAGAAAGAAAAGGGTGGCTGCAAGTAAAAAACCAGATTGGCTCACAAAGAGTTAAAGTAAAGCACGTGTTGGTGGTAGCTGAATGATACAAGGTATATAAAGATAAGTTTTAGAGTATCTACAAGATCACCAGGTTGATACCAACACGTGTTGGTGGTAGCTGAATGATACAAGGTATATAAAGAGAAGGTTTAGAGTATCTGGAAGATCACCAGGTTGATACCAATACGTGTTGGTGGTAGCTGAATGATACAAGGTATATAAAGATAAGTTTTAGAGTATCTACAAGATCACCAGGTTGATACCAACACGTGTTGGTGGTAGCTGAATGATACAAGGTATATAAAGAGAAGGTCTTAGAGTATCTGGAAGACCACCAGGTTGATATCAACACGTGTTGGTGGTAGCTGAATGATACAAGGTATATAAAGAGAAGGTTTAGAGTATCTAGAAGATCACCAGGTTGATATCAACACGTGTTGGTGGTAGCTGAATGATACAAGGTATATAAAGATAAGTTTTATAGTATCTACAAGATCATCAGGTTGATACCAACACGTGTTGGTGGTAGCTGAATGATACAAGGTATATAAAGAGAAGGTTTAGAGTATCCAGAAGATCACCAGTTTGATATCAACACGTGCTGGTGGTAGCTGAATAATACAAGGTATATAAAGATAAGTTTTAGAGTATCTAGAAGATCACCAGGTTGATACCATCACGTGTTGGTGGTAGCTGAATGATACAAGATATATAAAGAGAAGGCTTAGAGTATCTGGAAGACCACCAGGTTGATATCAACACGTGTTGGTGGTAGCTGAATGATACAAGGTATATAAAGAGAAGGTTTAGAGTATCTAGAAGACCACCAGGTTGATATCAACACGTGTTGGTGGTAGCTGAATGATACAAGGTATATAAAGATAAGTTTTATAGTATCTAATTCTCTTTATATACCTTGTATTATTCAGCTACCACCAGCACGTGTTGATATCAAACTGGTGATCTTCTGGATACTCTAAACCTTCTCTTTATATACCTTGTATCATTCAGCTACCACCAACACGTGTTGGTATCAACCTGATGATCTTGTTTTATATACCTTGTATCATTCAGCTACCACCAACATGTGTTGGTATCAACCTGATGATCTTGTAAATACTCTAAACCTTCTCTTTATATACCTTGTATCATTCAGCTACCACCAACACGTGTTGATATCAACCTGGTGGTCTTCTAGATACTCTAAACCGAAGGTTTAGAGTATCTGGAAGATCACCAGGTTGACACCAAACAACAAGTTTGTATCCTAAGTTTAAACAATCTTGCCAAGTCTGTATCCTAAGTTTAAAAGTAACTCACTGCTGCCATGTCTCTGCTCCAGATGCTACAGCACTGTCCGTCACAAGCAGGACACGGACGTTGCATCGCATATCCACCACATTCTGAACAGTCCAGAGACACATGGTCCTCACTCCAACTCACCCCACACCTGCAAATAAATCTTATTTAGTGGGTGATCACACTCGATCATGTTAAATACACTAAGTTAACTTGAAATTTTTGGTTTCCACTTGTGTGTTTGTAGTTAAGCACAAAGCTAAACAATGGGCTATCTGCGCTTTACCCACCACCAGTATGGAAAACCGGCTTCAAGTCACTTAAATACATCCTACATTAAAATTCAAAATGCTATGAGAACGCCCCCTTTCGTTAGATCTAGCAAATCACTTTTAATTCATTCCCATAGCTTAGTCACCAACTTTGAATTCAGTCTAATTTCCATGGTCAGTTTACTATCTCTTCTTTAAGGACTGGCATCAAATGTTTCTTTGTCTGAACGTTTACGGTACTTCAGATTTGAAGGCCTGCAAGTTTTTGCTGATAGTAAAGATATTAAAAATTACTTCGATCTTTTCCCTATAAATGTCAGTAGACGTTACTTATCAGAGTTTGCCCAATCTAACTTGTTACTCAAGAACACAATTAGCCACGTCATCGTTATACTTTGATATGAGATTCTTTGAAATGTCACGTGGATAAATTAAAAATTGGCAAACTGTAATCAGGAATTATAATGGTTTCTTAGACTTACATAGAGCAGGAGTTATAATGGGTTCTTAGACTTACATAAAGCAGGAGTTATAATGGTTTCTTAGACATATGTAAAGCAGTAGTTATAATGGTTTCTTAGACTTACGTAAAGCAGGAGTTATAATGGTTTCTTAGACTTACATAAAGCAGGAGTTATAATGGTTTCTTAGACTTACATAAAGCAGGAGTTATAATGGGTTCTTAGACTTACATAAAGCAGGAGTTATAATGGTTTCTTAGACTTACATAGAGCAGGAGTTATAATGGGTTCTTAGACTTACATAAAGCAGGAGTTATAATGGTTTCTTAGACATACGTAAAGCAGGAGTTATAATGGGTTCTTAGACTTACATAAAGCAGGAGTTATAATCGTTTCTTAGACATACGTAAAGCAGTAGTTATAATGGTTTCTTAGACTTACGTAAAACAGTAGTTATAATGGTTTCTTAGACTTACGTAAAACAGTAGTTATAATGGTTTCTTAGACTTACGTAAAGCAGGAGTTATAATGGTTTTCTTAGACTTACATAAAGCAGGAGTTATAATGGTTTCTCAGACTTACGTAAAGCAGTAGTTATAAGGGTTTCTTAGACTTACGTAAAACAGTAGTTATAATGGTTTCTTAGACTTACGTAAAGCAGGAGTTATAATGGTTTCTCAGACTTACGTAAAGCAGGAGCTATAATGGTTTCGTAATTCCTCTAGTGTCAACACGCCGTTATCTCTATATGACTGGAAGTCTTCCATACTGTGACAGTGATCTGGGTCCCAAAATCCAGCCTGATGGCTCCACTCATACAGTAGCGTCGTTTTGTGGAAGCTGATATTGTCAATATCATTGTAGTCGAAATGTGAGTAGTTAACATTAGACAACAATAAAGGATCGGACTTAGACTGGCGGATGTGAAACCCTGGTGGTAAGAAATATTCATTGTTAAATAAAATAACGAAAACACAAACTTATAATATGCGTCACTGAGACGAAAATATTGAACAAAACAGGTTTTGTTTTTGTTATTTACCTCTTGTTGCCATTACGTTTCTCTTCAATTCCTAATAAATTTCAACTAATAGGGACCAGTAGATAATCCACGATGAAGGTAAAACCATAAAGTGCACAATAAGGGCAACAAACTAGTTGTTTGATAAATGGCGCGTGTTTCAAGAATGGCTAGAATTCGTGTAGGGCCCCTTAATAATAAGGGCATTACCAAGTACATCAAGTGGTTTAGAGATGTTTACATATATTTTAAAATTGAAAGAATGTTTCCTCGCAATGAAATGGGGGTAGGGTTAGCACACATAATAACTTTAATTTGCTGGACCATAAACAAAATAATAATGGCGTACACAATCGCGCAAGCGCATTAATGAGCCCGCGCAATGAAGTGAGACCCAAACACAGGAAATAACAGACTGAACCAACCGCATGACTGGTAACATAACAGAATATAGCCTTATGCAGTAGAGCATAAAATATTAAAGAAATAAATTAACAAGCAAATTAGAAGTTTATTTCATAACAGGGAAATAATAAAACTATTAGTTTACTCTTTCTTGTCAAATATAATGCAAAACGCTCCCAAAGTAAAAGAAAAGGAATAACCTCATGTGACGTCAGGGATGTCTCTATGAAAGTGTATATACGTTGCCAAAACATGGCGGATATCTTCATCAATCGAGGCATAGCTTCAGAGAATACAGTGTAAATAAACCACTTTAGTATACGTGATTGTAATTTCCAACGATTAAACGTGCATATTCACACCATTTGAAATATGTATAGAAAATATGAGAATTGACAAAGCCTTTGCTGGTGTAGTTCCTTATTATAATACAATTATTTTCCGATAGGTAGCGGTAAAAGCGTCTTATTTGGGTTAATCTAACTAGATATTTTTTAGAACAGTTAAAACTACACGGCGTTGTTTTACATAAAGTGTTTTTCATTCTTGGAGAGATATGACTGACATTTTTACCCTATAACCCGAGTGCTGTAAAAAACCCTATAACCCGAGTGCTGTAAAACCATATAACCCGAGTGCTGTAAAAACCATATAACCCGAGTGCTGTAAAAACCCTATAACTCGAGTGCTGTAAAAATCCTATAACCCAAGTGCTGTAAAACCATATAACCCGAGTGCTGTAAAAACCATATAACCCGAGTGCTGTAAAAACCCTATAACCAGAGTGCTGTAAAAACCCTATAACCCCGAGTGCTCTAAAAATCCTATAACCGGAGTACTCTAAAAACCCTATAACCCGAGTGCTCTAAAAACCCTATAGCCCGATTGCTGTAAAAACCCTT